TTTTTTTGCAATAGTACAATGGATAACTGGTTGGCAAGATACATTAGTGGATGAAATTAATCCGCTGGCGTTGAATATATATTTGGCAAAATGGTTTATAAGGCCGTCAAGGCGCTTGATTGTTGGAAACGGGAGACGCCTTTGGGGGAAACGGAAACAACCCTTTCCCGATATGAACTTGAATAGAGATGATTTTGTTCAAAACTGTCCACACAGGGAACCATTTGTTCGTGATTTGTGCAAATGAGCTTCAAGTGAAAAGTGACAATTTTTGCAACTCCAACTTCCAAAACTTAGGCGAAATCCGGAATTATGCATTGCGGGCGGTGCTTTCAAACCGACATGTTAGACCTTTTATTATAAAGTAATAGAGAGGACAATCTCATGTACTGGTCCGTTATCACTGTCGTTCTGAAGGGTGTTTGGTTTTCGTTTATCGGATCCTAGTAAAATATGCACTGTATTAGAAAAAACATTTCAAGCAGTGCAAATGAGGTGTGCTGTTGATGTAAAACTAGTGAATTTTTGGTGTTTTTTGAATAAATGTTTTTCCATCCATTTCATTTTCCAAAGTAAAAGCAAAAGATTGCATTACCGGTGAAAAATCAACTGATACAAAGCGCAAATCAAAGACTTGATGCCTTTTCTATGCAAAAGGAGTGAAAACTCTGAAATTCCTTGTTATGATATGACTAATGTGAATAGGTGATAGTGCAACTGAATGGCATACGGCTTTGCGAAATGCAAACTGTTTGATGGATAAATCGAGGGTGGAAGTAGGCACAAGCCGTCCAACAGAACAATTTATACTTTCCTTTCTATCTGACATTCTGTAAATGATGGTCGTTTATAGTCAGGTGCCAACCAAATTTGTCTTTATGTTTCCAACATTTAACTTTATCTGAGGTTTTTGTTTGGATCAATATCATTATTCACAAAGTCGACCGAGAACTCATTACTTCTCCAGAAACCCTTCAATTCGAGAAGGTCACCTAGTGAAGTGTTTTGTCTCTATAGTTAATTTCAAAATATTTTTTGGCTTCAGATTTCACTCTTTAGTTCCGAAATGCAAACATCTGCTGAGATGAAGTGAACGACGCACGCAGACCACCACCTTCCTAGCACTACGTAAAATGCTGAACAACTATGAACTTTCATTTTTTCAGTTGTCCGCGTTTGCCTATTGTCAGTTGGAGAAATAGCGATAAAAGTTATGTTTACCAATTGGTACCATTCACTGTGTGCATTGTTTAATTTTGCTACCAGTAAGTAGTCTGTCGTCAGGTTTGACCACCAATGATCCGGTATAAACAAATCACAACAAAATTTAGCTCGAGAAAGATATCCGCAAATGTTTCATGTCGGCTATCGATAAAAATAAACAAATTCGTCCTTTGAGCGGAGAGCTGAAATTATAAAAATTTTTGCAACCCAGCGGTTGATTGAATTGTTAGAAAAACTAGGTAGGGCTAAAAACATCAAAAGATATGCATAAAATGCCTTTCATTTTATGCTCTTCTAATTTCAAGACTTGTTAAATTTCGTTAGTTGGAATATATATTCAGTTAACTCACATATAAAGGTGTTCAAATAACGTGCAACAGTGTCTTTGTCTTTTTTCTTATTATTTTCAGTAGATTAAAATCTTATGCTGAAATTGTGAAATTCCCGTTAGCCTTGGTAGGATTCAAACCCACGTATGGGCACCGCCTACGCTTAGTTCTTTGGTAAAACGTTCTTTAAGTTTCGGAACTAATACGTTGTCCTGATTATCGGCTCCAACGGACATCTTCATTTTTACAAAACCAAAAAATATACGCGCATTTGAATACAAAATCTTCCGCCTTTTCAAACCAGACATTTGCGATCCTTTAGGATTTTCAAAATCAATTTGGATTATCAGATTAAAAACGTGAGCTTTGATTAGGAACAGCTTTAATTTGCCAGGTCTGCTTTCGTCTTTAAGTAACATAGTTAATGCAACCCTTTGAATAAATTCATCCTATGAATGTGCACATGAATACGTTGCGGAGGGAAACTCATTCGCAACTAGGCGGTTGACGTGCACCTCAGAGCAAATAAGAATATGACTGATAAAGCATAGAACTGGCAACATCAGAAAAGCTACATATCATAAAGCATCGCTGCTTCGGTCAAAAGCGAACCAATATAACTGAAAAGCAATAACTGTGGTATGTATTGAAACTGTCATAATACATCGAGGCATTGTGTCCAAAAAATAATCCTCCCAACATTCAACCACAAAAGTACATTTATTCACTCATAAAAGTGCTTCTGATTTCACGGTGAAATGTCATCGTTTCGCGAATGTTCTGACAGCGAGAATGTCGTGGGTTTAATTGGCACCCCAGTGGTTCTATTCCGTCAAAGGACTACTTGCTAGAAAAATAACGATCTCCCTTCGAAGTTTGTCTGTTGCGTTAATCGCAGTCCGGATTCGCGGCTGTGCTGTCTTTTTTAATTAGGCTACAAGTTTATTGTGTGCATCCGTTTGAAGTGTGAGATGTTCAAAACACCGGTTGGATTGTTTCCCTGCTCTTTTAATAGATTCGAAATTCGCATGCAGATGTTTAAATTTCTTTTGACAAAACTAAAAGGAAACTGTTGTTCAAGATTCGAAATTACCAGAAGTGATTACATTCTTCAAAACTAATTAAGGGCTGGTTGTCAAATAATTGAAACCCACCTTTTTTATCCGCAGGTCTCGAAGGTCTGAGGTTATGCCAAACTTTGTTGATATTGTCGCTGTCATCCAGTGCCATTCTGTTCCTTACCTATTGGGGATTTTGGGAGTTTTCTGCTACTAGCGGCCAGACAACTGATTCTGATCACCGAGTAGTAAGTCCTTATGACTACAAGATATATCCTTTTCACATAATGAAACAAAGGGATTTCATAAAACAACCCCTCTCCATTACCCCTATGGCATGATCAGTAACCTTTATAGGTCAAAGAGTCTTTTAGAGAGTGTTTAACAAAATATGGTTACCTAACTCCGGTGTTGTTGGAAGAGAAGAATATTTGATTACCATACAACATCGATAATTTAAAACAATGATCTCCATTATTGTAAATTATGTCCCACTTTAAGTTTCGCCCTGTGGCCATCGAAACGGTTGAAGTTTTGGTGAGTTATACAATAGTGGTTTTCTTTATCTTTTGGTCTCGTGATGGATGCTACTAGACACCAGCCTCATGTTTTGCATATTCCCTTTCACTACTGTGATTGTTAGACGTATCACTTTAGAAAGAAGGGTTCGGGAAGGATACCAGCATACAAAATGTTTCTATCTGATTGAAGGGGAAAGATGTAAAGTTGGCTGTAAGTAGAACGAATAGAACTGACATGTTGTTATCAAAAAGCCAGACAACTGTTAACTGATATGCGAGTGATGCGGTTTTCATGATGAAATGAATGCATTGGTCCTTACATCTTAATGAATATCCAGCAAAGCAAACTTCTGACCGAATATATATATATATATATATATATATATATAAGCAATTAGGAAACCAAGTGGAAATAAATATATTTTTCAAGCTTGAATATGTTATATTTGACAGTAGCTCTTGAACAAGTTTTTAGGTACCCAGTTCCATTTAGGGGTTAATTTTGTCAACATTTTTAAAATCGGGTGCCCGATGGTTATGCCATCACTCTTTTGAGCCTGGTTGGATACGAAAGGGATCAAAATTAATGGCAATTATAAACTTCGGAATACATTGACTTGTATAGGATTCGCTTCGATTGCACGAGAATTTTAACCACTAAGGAAACTGCACAGCTGGGATGCATTAAATAGTCGCCTTACGTTTCTGGGGTTTTTTGAGTAATGCCACTCCCTCGACTCAACTTAATTCTATAGGTGAATGATGGCAGATTACCGACTTCAGCACTCGGCAAATGATCAGACTTTCACTTTGTCCGCACACCGGATAGCAAAATCAATCTATATAAGCTGGTTATGATAATTTTACCTGGTGACGCTCGGCTCCAGTTGCCATTATACGCTCTGCACCGAAATCAATGCAATGTGCAACCAGAGAACATTTACAGGGCTTCAATTCAGGTTAATTTTTCCTCTGCATGTAATAGAATTCCTCACATCGTTTGGCAGTGACATTATTCTGTGCATTTTCAATTCTTTTGGAATCTTGTTCGTTTATCATCCGCCCCAACCTATTCCTTCTCATTTTCATTGTGGCTGATAAGTTCGTAACACATTCTGCTAGTCCGGGTATTCATCACAATGAATTTCCTGGTCGATTCATACTGGCCGGTCTGTCTATTTCATTGCGCATTTAAAGCAAATTCTCATTTCGTTCGTCCATTTACCTTTTTTAATAACATTTTTTCTGACCGTCACTTCTCCGTGTGGGGCAACTGAGGAGAAAGGAATAAACTTTTGAACGATTGCATAAAGAAACCGTGTACGTTTGCTCAAAGTACAGAAGTCTGAATTCCGTAACAATAGAAAGAAACGGTGTATTACCCCAAACTCTACGTTGCACGAGTAGTAAAGCAGGGTTATAGGCAACTGTTTCCCCTAACTTTCAGTCACATCAGTTTTATGAGAAATAAATTATACAAAATAAAATTCATTAGCAATCTTTCAACGGCTAGTAAAAGCAAATGAGGCAGGAAATCGCTTTGAATGGCTGAGCGTTTGCTCATTTTGTGCATAAACGTTAAGCTCGCTGCTTCAGTCAGACTATGTGTGTCAGTGGGTGTCACCGTCGCCAGTCAATCAACCGAGGTTTCACGCAGTCCTTTGGTTTGTAACAGTGCACTGAAACCCTGTCGTCTATGTGGCTTCGGTCATCCGGTTGTCAATCAAAATTTTGACCTTTGTGTTACGGGTGTCCGGATAGCGCCGATCATGCTTTTAACTGCACTGATCCACACACATGCACGCGCAAAAATAAACAAAAAGACGAGGTCACGAATCGTTAACGGTCATTTCCCTTACTAAAATTCTTCACGCCGCCACCAAGCTGGCGTGTAACAGGAAGTGCTCTTTTCTCGTCTGTCGTAAGTCGCCGTCACCGGGGGTGAGCGCAGCCACAATTCTCACATAGTTTGGTGGAAAATGATGGGCGGAACTTTGACATATATACACATCGATTCCTAAATCTTGGTTTGTTACCGCAACCAACACGTGAGACAGGTGAAGCGTACAGTCCAAGGATTCGGTGGTGGTGATGGTTGCGGTTTCGGCTGAAATGGATGGTGGAAAATTGACCAAGTTGCTTGCTCCGTCAGTGCCCAACACATGGGGCAGTATCCAGGTCATGAACGACATGAGTTTATCTGCCATTCCCATTGCATCAAGGCGCAATGATATGGTGGTGGCTTGAGTGGGTGCAAGTGTTCCCATGCTAATGTTTCCTCAATTGATTGGATACTTTTCGATTGTCCCTAACTTACTTGAAACTTGCACGTTCAGTTCATGGTTCGAATAATGAAACTCAATGGATCTGTATGGATGCCATCAGATGCTGTCTGACCTTTACGGTCAGTCAACATAACTCAGCTATCAACCAAATGTTTTTTGGGATCCAAAATACCTGCTTGTCTAATTTTGAATTTGATCTGCAAGTAGATGAAACAAAAAAGGAAAACAGAAACTGAACGCAATCTGTCAATTGCTGTAAGTTAAATATGAACGTGTGATACCCGATAAGTCCTTTTTCAGAAGTTTTAGGGTGTTTGGTTCCGGTTAGCGAGGGCAACATTTTGTTCAGTCGATCCACAGTCGATTTTACAGTTTAAAAATTTGTCAGTCAGCTCAGAAGTACTGCCTGTAACGATTATTTTGCATCATTTGGATTTCTCTAGGAAGATCTCATTCCTGTTTATTGCTTCTGTTGCATTAGTGGATGACTGAACACTGATCATCCGAGATCACGCTAACCCCATTTGTGATCTTCGATGAAAGATTACTAGTCGCGGACAAGAGAAACTGACTACTAAATGTGAAATTCGAATATTAAATAGGGCATCAGAAGCGATGTATGGTTGAGGTATGATACAAAGATACCAGGCACCAGGTAAAATGCAACATATTATCCGTTGGTATCGATTAACTCAGCCTTCTGAAAAATTTCAGTAATGGGTCCAAGTCTCGGTCGATTCGAATGTTTTATTCAGGTATTGGCTTGACAAATTGGCATCTCTATAGGCTTGAATATTTGCACACTAGCTGATGCAAAATACTCAACATTTCAGGTATTGCTTTATATAATACATTCCTTTTCCTCTCCGTCTTTCCAATCTTCTATTCAGTATATAATTGTACAATTCCATTTTAGGAATGAGGTAGTGGCCAACAAACGGTCTGTTGTGTGACGAGGGAATTGCTACGCCGGCGTTTGGATTCGCACGGATGATCTCCCATGTGATAAGTTGGTAATGTTGCCCTCTTGATAAACAGCGTATAAGGGAGTTTCGTGTTTGCAAAAAAACCAATATCTATTGAGACCAATATATTCGAAAAATATAAGCGCTTCATAAAAAGTTTCCTGAATAAAATTGTTTACTTCACAAGTTGCTTTGAGATAAAAACGTTATGCTTTCCTTGAGGTACCAGGTGCTCACATGGTTGTAAGAGCTTGCGGTTAAATCACACTCATTTCGTAAACTTGTATGATGTTTTATCAAGCACTTTATGAGGAGTTTAATAGCCGCTGCTCCCTTCGTGAAAGTTGACTATATTTTTGTATACTTGATAAATAAGTAAGAAATTAAAAAATTTTTTGTTTCAGAACCCGTGGAATTAATATTTTTGAAATTAGTCCCGTTGTGTAACCACAAACCGAAATTTGTCTATACTTTACCAGCGAATGTAACGTCTTAATAAGAAGAAAATTGTACAGCAGCAATCAATACTGTTTTCATCAGTGTTATTATTATCACTATCTCTATCACTTATTACACTGCTAACATTACTATAATTACTAGTACTTCTACTGATAATGAACACTTTAATTAGTAGTCATAACCAGCAGGTAATGTTTATATTGTGCTTTAAGAAAAAATGATAACATCATCCACCTTCACAAAGCAGGTTTGGAGTAAAATGATTGACCTACTCACATACCCCCACATACAGCAAAATCATTCAATTCCCGCGCAAAACTAAAGCAGTCCACATTCCCAAGGTGATTCATTTTTTTGAGATTCAATGCAACCTTCCTGCCATAAATTTGATTTGCATGCAGTCTTATAATACCCTCAGAGTGTTTCGGAGAATTTGGGCGGCTCTCATCAGCCCTCGGCTGTCATGACTGGGGAGACCTAAGTGGAAAAACAAATCCACAAAATGAAGAATGCTTGATGGACAATATGGGGGCCTGGTTCGGTGGTGAGATTTCAACTCAATCGATTTCGCTTACGTGATCTAAGCGGAGGGAAACGCCCCAAAACAAGAGCCGACCGCCCTGAGGCACACCCAACCAGGACTAAAACCGCCTTGATGAATGAAAAATCATTCACAGCTCGTAGCAAGTCCTGTTACTAATTCTTATCAATATCATTGCTACACTGTGCACAAGCATTCAAATTGTAAGTTAATGAAAGCCCGGAAAGAACAGGTAGATTGGCTCTCCGTAATTTAATGCATCGAGTTGTCTCTTGAATCATCATTCTCGCTAAAATTACAAGCACGGAGTGTGAGGTTGATCCCTTCAAAAATGTAGGTCAATTTACAAATTGTCTAGACATTTCACGATAAGGGATAATACCCGTTTACAAAAGCGATGGAATAGTCATTTAAAACAATGTTCAATCTTTACCCTGATGAAAAATAATTAAAAGGAATCTAGAAATATTTAACAGTAACATTATTGTGTCTGGGACATAGGAAGGAAAAATAGTTAAATGTTACTGTGATAACCCGGAATAACTTCGATATAACTTGTCATGATTTGGGAACATTTTGAAATGACAACTGAGCAATCGAAAGAACACTGGGATATCTTAATCTTTAGCGTAGACAGTTTGATTTAGAAAAGCGTTTAGTCTTCATTAAAAAGTTTTCACTACCAAATGAATTCATTGACTACTTCAACGAAAAAGTTAAACTTACAGATGGTTGAAGATGTATCATTTTGCATCCAAATTTCCAGCTAACGAAACATTTTTAAAACGAGTCAACGACAACAGTGATTGCCCTTTAAAGTGACTTTTAACACCGGGCCACTCAGACACAATAATCAGCAAACGAGCCATGGTGTTCAGGTGACTGACTACATTCTATGTTGGCATGACATTTTTCAGGCTCTTCTGCGGAACTGTTCGGCTTGGTCGCCCGAAAGACAAATTTGCAAATTTCTACTATGAGCGTAGCCGGCAAAATGCGAAGCAACATTTCGAAGGCCGAAACAGTTCTTCGAATTCTTGACGCCTTGATAAATCGTATCACATGTTGATCCGGTAAGTTCTTAAGCTTGCAGGCTCTGTGTCGCAGGATGAGTGGGGGGAGGATAGAAGAAAACTGTTACGATAGCCCCAGGCCACACATCTATCGTGATAGATTAATGTGTGGGATATAGATATCCACCTTGATAGTTTCAAATCTGTTTAAGTTGTAGGTAGCTAGAAATGATAATTGTGTGGTTTGATAACATGCAACCATACAAACAACATTCATAAAACAGAGACACCAGTTTAGGTATATCGCAAAATCTGAATGGGAATTGGCTAATGCATTCATCTAAATCGAGTCTAATCTTGAATCCTTTACAGTTATTACGTCTTGTCTTGCGTTGTATTGACGAAATACCTTCATTAGATGAGTAAAGTATACCTTCTCCAGACATATTTATCATCTGGCACTCTTGTGCTATCCCTTGTGATCTGATTAACCCAGTTGCGAAACCCTGGCGGTCTGCGCACTGTTTGTAATTGTTGATCGATAGCAACTGCCAATAAGTGTAGCGAAACGCGTCCTCGTGGGCAATGTGCACTATCCGGACGATGCGTGCAAAGACTGAACCGCGCAAACAACCTTTATCTATCCTATTCTAATCGCATTTTGCTTATCACTAATTTTCGTTCCTTCCGTACACAGCGTTTGCATTTTGCTTTGCCTACACTCCACCATTAGTTAATCGCTTCAAATTCAACGAAGTTGGAAAACACTGTTTTGATATATTATGCTCGGAGGCTGTATTACGTTGCACTACAATCTACAGCGGAAAGGAGCGTGTTGTCGGTTTATGATAAATAATAATATCGAAGCTACTGGAAGACGTGTTTTCACGTAAACGTGATAAATCAGAAGGTTGAACAGAGATGAATTCCGCGACGGACATCATCCTTGTATACAGAGAAAAAGAAAGATTTTCTACGTGATTTAATCGGTCGTTTACCTGAGCAAGAGCAGACCGATGACAGGGAATTTACTTACACTAACATGAGTCTACCGGAAGATGCCAGTTTCTAAAAATACAACGATTTGGTAACAGAAAACATGTGTTTCGAAAGTAGAAATTAACCTCAACCGGCA